TTAATATGTCATGTAAACACATAGTTACATATAAAATATCCTCTTAATATGTCACATAATTAGATTGTTCAGTTAAGTGATTAATATTGCAAAAATTAAAAAACTTAATAATTAAATCATAAATAAAAACAAATAAAACAATGAATGTAGTCAATGAACTATTTATAAAAACCATGTTTGTGAAATTTACCCTTTAATATATTAAATTTAATATATTAATATTTTAATTAAATTAAAAACTTATCTTCCTTATTACTTTTTTATTGACGCAAAGTTCGTTTTAGAATTTCAGAGTAAAAAAGGGACGAAACCGGAACCGGGTCTTGTACACCGGTTCCCGTCCGTATACCAACCGTCTTATCTTCTTGCAACTCTCGTCGATATGTTCATCGTCATATTTATACGCAGATTCTTTGCTTGGTTTCATCTTCTTCCCTCATGCCAAAGCTTCCTTTCCCTTCCTTCATGATACTATCTATCTTCGACTTCATTCATATCCAACCAACAATAAATTTTCATTCGGTTAAAATGAATGAAAATCACCTTCTCCAATCTGATTATATCGGTTTACATTCATGAAATTCTTTGCAAATATGATTGAGACGTGGTTCAGAAGAAGTTTTTACTCGAAATGGTAAAAACTTATGCGCTGGATATAGATTTTCATCTTTTAATGTTATCGAATTCAAATTTCCCTTCTGAACGTCTTAATTTTGCGTAATGTAGCCATTCAAATATCAAGCTGACATTGATGCGAATCGAGATTATAAAGAGGAGGCGAAAAGCAATGGAGAAGTATTTGAGGAATGATATTGTTGATCTTCTGAGAAACGGGTTTGTTGCTGATGCTTATCATAGGGTAAATATTTCTGGAATTTTTGTTCTCCCTCTTTCTTTGTTCTTTATTTTCAATTCATTCAGAAGAAAACATTGAGGATTGCAGCTTACAATGATTCGCGTATTTAACAGAATTGAATATATATGTCATGTATTTTGCAACTTTTAATGCAAGATGTACAAGTTGTTACTAGCTAAGTTGCTATTCAACATAAACAGGCTGCGGGACTATATCTTGACCAAAATCGGTCATTATGTTATGATTTCATCGAGCAATTTTGCATGCTGATCTTAAACCATCTAACAGTCATGAATGATCAGAGGTAAAGACGCATCTTTTGATTGTATGTGATGCTTTAATCCTTTCTTTTTGCTTAAAAGTACATTTTAATTAAGTTTTAACTGTTAAATGATTTCCTTCCTATGTTACGTACATAGCGAATGCCCAGAAGAATGCATGGAAGCAGTCTCATCGTTGATCTATGCTGCTGCAAGAATTGCTGATTTGCCGGAATTGCGCGAACTTAGGAGTTTGTTTACCGAGAGATATGGCAATTCACCCGAAGCTTTTATCAACAAAGAGGTTGACTCCTTTTATCGAAATGAATATAATTAAATAGTAAAACACGATTTTTAGGCTAAAATATAGAAATATATAATTTATTAGATTTAAGTCATTTAACCTATATATTTGCGGGTGGATGGAATTTTTGAAAACTTTTGGAACGTTTTATTAGATTTAACCTATATATTTGGGGGTGGATGGAATTTTTGAAAGCTTTTGGAAGATTTTAGTTATTCTGTTTCGTAAAAAGTACATATTAAACTATATTGTAAATATAAAATGATATAAATAAACATGTACTAAAAGAAAAAAGAATATATATAATTAAGGACATTTTTGGAATATTAATAAAAAACTCCATAAGTTACATCATTAAAAGCTAACTATTTTACCATATACTTATGTAAAGATACAGAAAGTCATAACACATATAGTTTAGTGATTAAATTGTTAAAAAGATAAAAACTCTAGCTAATTTACACCATTTTTTTCATTTATGGTTTTTAAAAGTTTAAAATACAGGTCTGTTATATTTTTATAATTCTTATAAATGAGCTGATTCGTACACAACAATTTTTCTCTATAGATACTAAATTGTGTTTTAAAATGTTTTATTGTACAACTCTATAAAACATCAAATTCTTGTTTATGGAAAAAAAAATTAATGTGTACAAATCACTTCCCTTCTTATAATAGTAGTTTAGTAAGAAAAAAAACCAATTATTAAATTGATAAAAATCAATTTAATAGTTAAACTGATAAAATAGTATAAATGTCTTAAGTATTTTCTTTTATATTTTTCTCTAATATGAAAACAAGGTAACATAGAAAAAAAAGTTTTATTTTCCTCTAATATGAAAACAAGGTAACTCAGAAAAAAGTTTTTTTTTTGTTTTTTTTTTACAATCACAAAAAGTACAAGTGTTAACTATCAAAAGATAGTAAGCGAACTAAAATAATAAAATGACACAAATTCATGCATATATTATTGTATATTTGCATTTTTATTTTTGTTTCGCGGTACTTTTAATCATGTAAAGCTAAAAAATATTTGTTGTTATCAGTTTGTGAATTTGTTTAAAAAGGAGCGCCCAACACATGACATGAAGATTCATTTGATGCAAGAGATTACATTAGAACATGGTGTAGAATGGGACCCCAATTCACTAGAACAAAGTTCAGACAAGCCACCCTCATCCAACGACGTACGTAAGATCCTTTTCTTTCTCATTCGTCAACTTTTTTATATTTTTATATTTTTATATTTTTTTTATCTCGTGGGTCTTATTTATACATTCTTAAAAACCAACAAAATACAGAGCGAGAGAAACAACATCACAATTATAAATATCACGTGTTTTGTAGGATCAACCCCAAAACATGTATGGTGATGGACACAATGAAGAATCTCATGGAACTCGCAATGAAAATGGCTTGAGGATAAAAGTTCAAGAGACAGGAAACCACGAGGGGTCAAATGGTGAAATTGAAAAACAAACGGACCAAATGCGTAAAAGAATTCTAGATTATTGGTCAAGGACCACTAGTCTATTCTCAACTAGCCGAGAAATCAGCACAAGTTCAGATGATAGTTCTTCTGATGATTCAAGTAAAGGAAGATCATTCTTTGGATTAAGACAAAAACATAATGGTAACAAGGAGAACCAAGATGTTTCAAATAATTCAAATATTCAAATTTTAGACAATAATGCCACATTACCACTAGGTGAGAAAAACACACGACGAAGAAAAGGTGGGCCCCTGTCACGAGTGAAATCACATTCCACTGAAAGTGTGCCAAATCCATTAGCAAAGAAAGGGCATGTGCGAACGGTTTCAGATGTAACCAATAATCCGCCAAGGGGACATGTTCATCCCAAACTCCCTGATTATGATGAAATAAAATCTCGATTTGCAGCCCTTAGAGCAAAAACTTAAGAGCAATGGTTCAAGTTATGCATAAACTCTTTATTCCTTATAGGTGTGCCTTATATTCATTACCTAACTTCTTGATGTTTGCTTTAGTGTGAGGTTTCACTTGAAGTTGTCATTATGTTTAAAAGATTCATATGGTGTAAATAATATAACTTATAATAAAATAATGCCAAGTGAATAAGTGTTTGTTGTAACTTATGTAGTCTCGTTATCAGGTGGATGGTTTTTTAAATATGTTGTTGTTCGTGTAACATGGATAGGGGTATTGAATTAATTTCTCTGGAATTGAATTAATTTATCTTTTATGCTTTTTTGTGATTCATAGATCGAGACTAGCAATTACATTTTAATTTCATGTGATATGGTGAATGACACTTAAAGGTGAGATAATTGTGGGAAAATTTGATATTTATACTTATAGATTTATTATCACTGCTTTACATAGTGGTTGGAGATAAATTTACGGTTACACTTTCCTTTCATGTGGTGTTTCTTACAATGTTATGGATGTTCTTTAGCACCACAACAAAAAAAATTTCAAGAAAAATCGTATGGGGAAGGAGAAATTTGTTATTGCCCTTGATACTAGAGTTCTTTTAGGTCTAGTTGTTTTAATGTCTCATGAGCATATCGGATAGGAAATCCACTTAAATTTCTCATAGTTTATAACTTTTGCAAACTTGTTCTTTGTTAATCCTGAATATATAAAAATTATACTTTGATTGTTCAGAAAAAACTTATGTAAATATTAGCATAAAATGATGTTGTTTTGGTAGTAAACCGATTATAAAACTATGATTATTTTTTATTTATTAATTGTTAAGTGAGTTCATTTGAACTTCATATTATTTGTTACTTAATAGATTAAACAAGAACCATTACCAAAAACAAACCTTATAAATAGATTTAATACATATAATATTCTAAATTGCTTTATATATATTTGTATTGTTATTATTATAACAATATTGTTTTTAAATTAAATTTTTATGCTATACCATTTATATTAATGCATTGTTATTGTAGTTTTATTTAATAATATTGCTTTTGTAATTATATTTTTCTGTTGTACGATTATATATATATATATATATATATATATATATATATATATATATATATATATATATATATATATATACTAGTAAACTTATTGGGCCGTGATAATCACGATCCTAGAGAAATGATCTATAAGCTTGTGTTAAGTGATTAAATGAAAACACGATTTCTAACAATAATATAAATACTTTTATACGGTTACAATTATAATAATTGACGTCCCAAAAATAAAGGAACATCAAGATATCGATGTTCTCTACAGCAAGAGTCTTATGAAGTTTCTAGTACAACAAGAGTCTTATGGAGTTTCCATATGACTATAACAAAAAGAACTTGTCTAGCATTTTTAGAGTGTCACTTCACATATAGACTAACAAAATACGTTATGAATATTTTCTACATGTCCATGCTTGTGTTAATACCCATTTACCTCCGGTTTAATTACATTGCGAGTGTTGATAAAGATTTACCTCTAACTCAGTGACATTGCGAATGTTAATAATAATCACCCTAGCATGACACAAGGGCAACCTTTGACCATACAGTCGTGAACAACCCACCAAGAAAGAACTAATATAAATTCTCATTACAAAATAAAAACATACAGGTTATTACAGTGCTTTCTGATGTATGGTTATGTATATCATACCACAAAGCCACATATATCATTTCCTCCTACAGTCAAAGACCATTAGTTCAACTTCAAGGTCATTTTTGTTGTTGGCGATTGTAATTTGTCTGATTCCTAATTAGATCATATTCCAAGCCTACTTGTTTAATGGCAAGATTCATATGGTTATATCACCTTAATATAATAGTAAAGATGATAAATTTAGTCATTAAAAGACCAAAAGACCCTTATTACATATACGAAAATAAAAACCCCAAAAAATGATTATAATTTAAAATTACCGGCTTATTCAACTTTTGTTATTGAATTACATTCAATTTTCTGCCAACCAAAAGTGTAACAACATTATACTTTCAGAAATCTGCCCAATTATATAGGAGTGTCGTACACTTGGGGAGATTTGCTGCTATAATTGGATGTAATTTTCAAAATATAATGTACCAATTACTAAAAATTTGAAAGTGTAATGCTATAAAATGTCGTGAGATCATTAATGTAGCCCTAAAATGCACTTTCTAACACCATTCGAATTTTGTGTCTTTATCCTTGCCTTTGGGACCGACCATAGCTAAGATCCTAAAACTTTGATAGTAAAATCAAGTGAGTTTCTTACAACATGGGGACCATGCAAGAAGATGTATCATTTTACCTTTTGTAATGATTAACAAAAAAATAATTAAACTTTCTAACCATTGTTTGTCATCACCAACCAAGAACATCTAAGTGCGACTATTGCTAACAGTTGATCTATAATTACTTTAAAAAAATGAAATCAATAATAAAATATACTCTTTTAGCTGGGGCATTTGAACTGTAGCATTAATAATTGAAAACCGTGAACATATAACATCAAATATAAAGTAATTCAAAAGGTTAAATGCACGGTTAACCCTTTTGTAATTTGTTGAAATTTCTTTTTAGGTATGACCAAAAATGCTTTTTCTTGTTATTAAAACTAACGATTCTTATGTTTTTCATAGATCCCCAGGTGTTACCAAATGTATTTACCATTGTTGCTTTTTCTTCTGTTCTCAACTCATATTTACACGAAGAAAAACATGGCATAATGGAAAATTTGTAAACATGTAAACTAGGAATTTGGTTAAATGTGGATGAAAGATGCAAGTCATCATCATCACTGGTTGTTGCAGTGCCATCTGAACAACTTAAGTAATGACACCAACTGCCATCTAATCTCCTTTAATTAGCAATATACACCCACAACCCAAACAACCATTATTTTACTGTCACTTCCCTTTTCACCTTTTATTACTGACTACTTTACCAAAGATTTAGAATAAGCAAAATCATCCATGGTTAAAAAAAATTCATCATCACACAAGATATCCAATGCATTTTAAAAACGTCAAATTACATGTTTCTTTTTAAAAGCAACAAATGGATAATAGTTGATCATTATTTTACTTAAAAAATCTTGTTCTTTCCATTTCTTCCAATTACTACATCATAATTTACAATTCTTATCTTATTAATAGTAAAAAGTGAATTATGATATTGTTTTTCCTAATACTTAATTAAAATAGAACTTCAAATAGACACTCTGCGATTGAATTCTTACCTTTTAAGTGTCATAATAAACAAAATACTTTTATTTATATTGTTTTTCTTTCTCCTTTTCATCTTCATCAATATTTATATCATTTTATTGATTTAATCTTAGACTTATCTTGTTGCTAATCTTCACCATTCGTGACACCAATCAAACCGCCATCATTTATGATGAAACCAAAAGTAGTTTGAAAGCTTCTAAAAGTATAATGTAAAAGTAATAGATATTTGCTTTCCTTGTCATATAGAAAATAGGTTTCCATATGAAGTACTGTCTATTTACAATTTTTCCCTCGTTTATTTTTCTTTCAACTTTTTTGAGTACTTTACCATTTACTAAAATATGTGTTATACATTACCTTTACATCAGATTATATAATATTTTACCGATGACAAGAGCTATATGGTTTACTTTTCTGCTTCTTTGCAAATCGCCTTATCGTCATATCCTTACACTATTCAATTCAGTTTTTTACTTGCTCAAATAAAGTTTTAGAATTTATTAAAAAATCAGATATATTGGTTTGGCAACCAAAATGAGTATAACTAATAAAACATGCTCCAATTTGTCAACAATAACCTATTCTCCAACATTTGTTGATGTTACTTCATTTTAAACTTCCATATGTTAGTAATCTAATTGACACGAGGCAATTCTTTATATAAATGTAATCAAAGTAATAGAAAATAGAAATAAATAAGATATAACAAAACCGGCAGTAAATTATTTGTTAAAACTCACTACAAGAAAAGTCCTTATTAGTGACTAATTTTTAGTGACTACATAAATTTTGGTTACTAACAACATCATTTAGTCACCAAATATTAAGTGGTCACTGAATTTTGGTAATCCTTCAAATTTAATGACCAATTCTCTATGGTCGTCACTGAATCGGTCACTATACCATGAATAAAATTAAGATACTTTCTTTCATATCATAATAACTATTAGTGACTAAAAATAATGATTATCGTTTTAGAGGCCTAGTGACAAAAATTAATGATCACTTCATCTAAGGTTAAGTGACCAAAAATATTGATCACTAGCTACTCTTTTTTATTGGAAACCACTTAAATGTTATGCGGATAAACTGCAACCACTCAATAGTGGTCACTAAATTATAAAATGAAAAACAATTAGTTACCACAAAATAGTAGTCACTAGAGCTTTTCTTTCTTTCACACATAATTTTCCCAAAGCTCGTACATTTGACTAGTCCTTACCTAAGTTCTTGAGCACTTATCCACAACTAACCATAACCCTTTTATTAAACATATTTATTATACTACCCTTCGACTTAAAATCATTTTTGGACCCTTTTTGGATTTTTTTTTCGTGGTGTTTCATAAATAAAGAAATCAATTTTCCTTTTTCTATTTTCCATTTTATTATAATATACAAAGGAAAGCGTATCCCGCCTGTCTTCAACACATCCCTCCTCATTGTTTGCCCTAATTCGACATACCAACAATTGGCAGTTCGGCACCAAGGTCGTCGGTCCATCGTCGCTCCACAAAAAAAAGGTACTCTTTTCTCCACTCCGACCGTCATGGTTACATCTATTGCTCTCATGTCGCATAGTAGCTAATCAATCGGATCCTTGATTCCATTCTACCAGATAGTAGATAAAAGTTTGATTTTCTATCATTAACCTGAACATTTCCGTCTTCTCTCTCGCCTAACAGCTGACGCTCCTCCACATCTTTCCTTTCCAACTTCGCTCCTCGATCCGTCACCTCCTACATCTCCGGCCGTCCCACCCATTCCACACCTCCGACACCACCCTCGCACATCAGAACGTCGACTCATCTTCAGGTATCTAGTCCGTTCTTCATTTTTTCGGATTTCTCTTTATTTTTGCTGAAATCGATGCTCTACTCCAAATATGATGAAATTGGCGATTTCTCGAAAATCAGTACTGAAATCGTTGATATGAAATTGTTTGTTGATTTCTTAAAATCGTGATGTGATGTTATGATGAAATTGTGTGCTGATTTCTCTACTTTGTATGTTTTGATTCGAGTATAGTTGTCAATTACGTGAAAAGGAATACAATCATTTTTCAAATTTCTTTCTCTTCTCACTAATCTCCGTCTTATAGCTTTTATCTTGTCTTGAGATTAGATGAAAAATGAAAGTTGCTCTTTTCTTCTTGTTTAAGATATAGTACTTGTGGTTTAGATACGTATTTTGTTTCATCTATGAATACATGCTTTCAGAATGATAAAATCTTCTATTTTCTTGTGTTTGATTATGTTAAAGGATCTTCAGATGCTAAGGAGCAGAATCAAAAAGCCCACACATATTCCGAGGAGTTGGAGAAGCAGGTATGTATACAATGAGTTAATTTTTATCAAATTATGTCATGATTTGCATTCAGTTGTAGTTTATAGGTGTTTATTGCTTATTATAGGTGGAGAAACTACATTTGGAATTGGATCTCAAACTCAGGTTAATGGAGGCTTTGAAAACTAGATCAAAAGAATTGGATCAAAAGATGCTTCATATAAATACAAAGCTTCAAGAGGTAAGACTTTCAATTATTTTGTTTTTTATGCATTAGTAGTAGATCTGAATTGGAATTCAGCTCCATTCTATTTCGACATTTGGTTGCAAATGATTGCTACAAGCGACAAAATTCAACTTTCCTTACATAAGCTCATGGAATTCAATTCCAATCTCCCGCATTTGTAAACTGAATTTCAACCTTCCTTGCACAAACTCATGGAATTCAATTCCAACCAAACATGACCATTGAATGTAATTACTCATTCCATTACTATGGTCATTCCATTCCATCTAAATAAACATACCCATGGCTAATGATATCTATTAAATCCTACAATTAATTTAATTTATAATTTTCTACAGAAAAATTAGCGTTGACAAAATATCAAAGAACACTTAAACTTGTAGATTTTGGATTAGCAAGAGAAGAGACAGTTAGTTACCGAGATAGTGATTGCCAATATAGGGGCATGTCATTGGATGGCTCCAAACTCCAAAGTAAGTTTTTAATGTATGTTTTAATCTTTTTTTTTTTTTTGGTCAAAGATAAAGATTTTAAATGTCTTTTTTTATTTTTCTAATAGTTATATAGTACTAGGACACTAAGGCAAGGAGAAAAGAAGCATTACAACCAGAAAATAGATGCTTATAGCTTAGTAATTGTATAATGGGAACTTTTACACAACAAACTACCCTTTGAGGGTATGTACAACCTCCAAGCTACTTATTCTGCAGCTTTCAAGGTAAAAAAGCAATTTTATATTATCTCCTAAAGGGTAAAATAGTAAAACAAGAGGGGTGTAATTGTAATACTTGCTTTTTATCATTCAAAATGTGAGGCCAAGTTAGATGCTGTTACATTATTTTTTGATAATTTTGAGTTTTCTAGTTAATCAGTTAGTGATTTCCATGCTTAGAAAAAGTGATTTTTCAATCTGTAGGTACTAGTTTTAGCTTTTAAAAGTTAATTGCTATCATTAATTTTATTTGTTAATGAAGTATTATTTTGTTTTTTAGCCATTAAAACCACTAGAAGCAACACGATTTTTTTACTCCATTGCTTGGACACGGAATAGTCAACATATCATCTTTGACAGCAGCAGAACAAGGCCGCGGATTGCAATGAAACTTAACATCTACTTATCTTACTCTTATTTGTCTTTGTTTGCAATGAGATTCAATTTTTTTTTTTATTTTTTTATTTTTTTATTTTATGTATTTTCATGGTAAAGACGAGGTTGAATCTATATTTGAATATTTTGTATAATCCTTACTTTGTCTAAATGTGAATATATGATGTTACTTTTTTAGTCAACTGGTAATGTATATTCTGGTAATGTAGATTGAGAACAATTAATGCTTATCTTTTGATGAGTTTTTATGGTAACTAGTGTGATAAGTCAGGATAAATCAGTGACGATTTTGTATGGTCATTAATTGGATAAATTAATGATGACTTCCTATGGTCACTAATTGGATAAACTAGTGACGACTTTCTATGGTCACTAGTTTGATGAGACAGTGACAACTTTTTATGGTCATTAATTTGGAAAAAACAGTGACGACTTTCATTCATTAGTGACAACATTTAGTGACGAAACAGGTCGTCAAAGATTTAGTGACTAGTATATGGTAGTCACTATTTAGTGACCACTTTTCTATTTTCGTCACTAAGCAGTTTTTGTGACGGATCTATAGTGACGAAAAGAGACGACCAAATATTTGGTCACTAAATCATTTAGTGACGACTCCTTCTATAGTTAGTGACCATTTCGTTTTCGTCACTAATTGGCATTTTTTTTGTAGTGACTTTAAGAATTGGTAGTTGAAGGGTTTAGAAACATATAATTTAAAAAATATACAACTTTACTTTTGATATCATGTTCATCGTTGTATGTTACCGCCAAGAAACACATACAAATTGACTCCAACCATCAATAGAGCACATAATTCACCAAAGGGGTAGAAGCATATATCTAAAGAATCAATAGTGTGGATCTGAGTGTTATGATACAAATAAATAAACAGATGCTGCATGTTGATAGTTAATACTCTTTCAAATCTTATTAATATAAATCATAATTTCAAACTAAAATTTCATGCATTTTATAGATTGCAAAAGGTTTTGTAAAAGACCTCAAAACAAAAATATCAATAATTAGAACGTTAAAGTTTCATTAATAAAGTTATAATTTATGTTTTGAAACACTTCTTCCGTTTCTAGGATACACCTCTTTTGATACACAAAAGTCAAACATGGAGTAATATACCTTCAGCGCGTCCATATATTGCCATTTACTTTAATAAGAGACTCTTATCGATATTGATGATTCTAGATGACCTATCAATCCAAGCTCCTTAAGAAATCGGAGAAGAAAAACAAAATCCAAATCATAATCTTTTCCATAATTTACGAAATTTGAATGTACAGAAAGAGGAAAGAAAAAAAAATCATCTTTTGTTTTTCGTTTTAGATATCAGAGTAAAGATGTTTAGGGTTCATAACAAAATTTTAGAGAATAAGTTGCTTTATGATAACATTAAGTCAACCCATAGTGTAATATGATAACATTTAAATAAAAAAATTGAAGAGGTTAAAGATCCAAAACCTGCATAATCGCATTTTTTCCCACAAACATATCATAACAATACCCTTCATCCTCATACCCATCCACATAAAATGGATAGCCTTCTTTGTATCATATAATATTGTCTGAATGGTGACGCGAGGAGATTCCATCAATACATGTCCAATAAATATTTTAAAGTTTTAAAGTTAAAGAAACAAGAGAAATTGGATTCATGTCACATATTCTTGTAAGCAGTTTCACAAAATTAAGAATTGAGAACCATTAACAATAAACGAATACTGAAAATTAAACTATATTTGATGGAATTAAGATTTAAGATAAGAAAAATCATCAACCCACATACTTGAAAATCGACATAATCAACCGCCAAAAACATGGCAAAGCAAAAGCCAGAGATGTCAGTTGTCTTCGTCTTTGAAGAAGGAAGCGTGACATAAACTAGGAAGGAACTTGGGAGCCATGGTGGAGGCGTGAAGAATAAGAAGACACCCACATGATAGAGTCGACATACTATAGATGAATCAACACGTTTTCAAATAGACCCTACAATAGAGCAACTTTGGGAGAAACGTCGACAAAGAAGAAACCACAAACGAAGTACGGAGATGCCATTCATTAGGGCGATGCAAAGAAAGAAGTCTTGATAGAGATGGTGGCATAAAGAGAAGAATGAGGTAAGAGAAGGAGAAGTTGAGGTGGTGTGAGGTATCTATTGGCATGTATCTTTTTCCTTAGTGTATTTACAACGGAATACATAATGCTTGCGTTGCAAATTATCAAGAACAGAAGGTTGTGGGCTATATAAAGCAACACAGGAAGAAAGATATGTCGGACGTCAACTGTCGTAGCGCTGGGGGGTCGTTTTATTGTCCCAATGATTGAGAAGAGTAGATTCAAAATTTTAGAAGTTGGAGCCATGGTTGCGCCATGAAGAAGAAATAGAGTTTTTCAAATATACAGCAAAACAAAAAAGAAAGGCTGTGGTATAGGAGATCAGTGAAAAAACATGTGTGGTGGCATCTGGCAAGGCTAGAAACCAGAAGGTGGCAAGTCTAGGAGGAAAACCCCCGTGAAGTCTTTTGTTAATGATTGGAAGACTATGATGGAAGCTGTGGGCGGCAACAACCCTCTAATTGGAAGATGATGATAAGCAAGCAGACACATTGGTGACACAAGCAGGCACCCAAGCTGCTCACTGGCGTATACTTAAAAAATAGCCGACTCCAGTTTTTCAATTCTATTGGGGAGATAAGTAGGGAGAGAAACAACTCATCCACGTGGACCAAAGTTGAAACATTTAACATATAGGTAATGATATATATATATATATATATATATATATATATATATATATATATATATATATATATATATATATATATATATATATATATATATATGAAAAAGTGAATACGTGACTGTCATGTACGTAATATTAGGTATAGAACTATCAAAATTAACTTCATTTTAAATAAAAAAACATAATTTTCTTTCTTTGTTAGCTATTTTCTATTGCTTTTGAGCTTATATTATTCATAATTTCATAATTTATCTCCAACATCTATGTATTTCGAATGTGTTGTTTTTATTAGACTTCTAGTAGGCTTTATAATTTTCTTTGACACCTATCATATGTATACTTGCATGGTTCTTTTTGATGTGTTATGGGAAGAAGTTTATTGAGATTTTAGTGAGCAATTTTAATCTTTCACTATAATTTTCTAAATTAAATTTGAATATGAAGATTTAATTATAGGTAGTTGATAGTGTATTTTTATACATGGTTTGTGGTCCAAAATAAAATATTTAAAACTCCATAAAAATATGTACAAAGCCTATCATCTACTCTAATAGTGAATATAAGAAAGATGGTAGAGAGATTTTATTATATTTTGTTAAAACTATGTAGTTATTGGTGGTTCTATACCTAATATTAGATACACAACAGCCACATATTTCCTAAGCCCATATATATATATATATATATATATATATATATATATATATATATATATATATATTACCAAAATTTTTCATCGGAGAGAAACCGCTAATACAACTACAAGTGCATACATGCCAGATTATGATATCCAAATTTTTTGAATTTAAATTAATCCAAAAAAATGTGAACCGAATTTCATCAATATTCTGATAGTATTTCTTTGTAATGGAATTGATTGGTGATTGTGTTGCTTTGTGTTTGACATCCATTTAGATAACATTTGTATATTAATCAAATACAACCCAAAAACATTCCGCATTTACCCTTCGGTTTATACTATACAATCAATCGAAGGGGTGGTCAAACAAAAGGGGAAACCGGTTTCTTTTAGAATTTTTATAAATTTAGAAAAAAGGATGTTGTTAAAGATACTCTTAAGGCTCTCGAGTTGGATAAAGTCTGTGATTCGGTTACTTCATTTGCGGGTATACAGTTTTCTAAAGTTTGCGGGTACACTGTGAGTTAAGTGACACCTTTTTTTCTTATCTGCATTTAACGTTTTTTCCCCTTTTGGTCTTGCTTTTATAGGTGAGGCCCAATGTTTAGTGTGTCTTTACATGTATGGACAAAATAATTAAGGTCAGGAAAGGAACAGTCGGGTAGGATTGAGTGAGAAAATGACATTAGAAGTAATGATATAGCATTCTACTTTGACTACTCCGGTAAGAGCTTTTTTGTAACGACCCAATTTTTCACGTCCGAAAATTTCGTTTAAAAACATTACTTTAGAAAACATTAATAATTAGAACATTGTTTGATCAAACCACAACACAATGCAAATCATGTTCAAAAGCCAAACCATACAACCCATCAAAATATCAGAGTACAAATCCCAGTGAATCTCGTAAATGCGGAAACCAGAGTGTGTGCATGATGTGCCGCTACCGTGCCAGCTCCTTCCCCTTCGGTGAAGAGGTACCTGAACACAAAACTGTAAAACGTAAGCACAAAGCTTAGTGAGTTCCCCCACTGTACCACATACCACATAATCACATAACATACATAAATTTGTCAGGCATATCTGGGTGCCCGACCTACCCCTTCGGTCCTCTCGACCGGATACTGCCTAGCATATCTGGGTGCTGGCCTCCCCTTCGGTCCTTTCGATCGGATACTGCCTAGCATATCTGGGTGCTGCCCCCCCCTTCGGTCCTTTCGACCGGATACTGCCTAGCATATCTGGGTGCTGGCCTCCCCTTCGGTCCTTTCGACTGGATACTGGGGACTATTTCACCCCTACTACTACCACATAACGCATATATCACATAGTCTAGCAACCCTAGATGAATATCACAAAGACAATCATCTAATCACACATCTCCTACTGGTGGGCCGGCATTGTGGCCTTAGACCCACCGCTACTGGAAGGTAACTCACCTCAAAGTAGCTGCTGAACTGATCGGGAACTGACTGACCGCTGCTGCTGCCCCGAAACTCCTCCGACTGCAATTCCCACAACATACTCAATCACACACTGCTAACTGTCCTTTGGGTAAAATGACCATTTTACCCCTGGTTTGGCCCTAAGTCAAAGTCAGAGTCAAATTTCAGTTGAACCGACTCGCCGAGTTGGCTCTCCAACTCGCCGAGTCCCTATCCAGACGATTGTCCTGAGTCCCTGTTTCTACTCGTCGAGTTAGGCTATGACTCGACGAGTTCTTCTTCTAAACTGACATTCAAGCCCTTCATCCTACTCGCCGAGTCTGTTCTTGATCTATGAAGAT